TGCTGAGTGAAGCTCATCTTTTCATCTCTTGAAGGTTAGCTGCAGAAACAGGAAAGTATTATTGTCCTAAATGGACCCTAATTATGAATATAATTTGTTCCACTCCACGCAGTAAGTTTAATAACTCGGATCTAAATTGACCGTATCAGTGGCAGAACAGGGAGTATGGTTCTGGGAAACCAATTTCAGTGTTGTAGCACTGCAAATTTGAGAAAAGAAAGGGACTTCGGTAGGAAAAATAGTAATAGTATATGAGAAGAATTTGGGACTATATTTGAAAATAATGTGACAGTGTATTGCAAAGACACCTTGCAGGGTCAGGACCTTTAGTTGAGACAGATCTGATTGCCTGTATGAACCAAAATAAATCGCCATCATATAAATGATGAAATGACTGATGGGTTTGTCAGGGTCTAGAAATCATTTGTGTATGTTAAGTACCTGTTCTCAGATTTAAGACCCGATCCTGTGAAATGTGCAATATTCTTAACTCTCCTTGAAAACCAAAGAAATGAGAGACATTTGTATTTTTTATTATGAGAGCTGGAGTTACCTCTTGCTCTGGAGTTTATTTTGTTGTTAAGTGTAAGATATTAGTTGCTTGCACTTTTTTCAGAAATTGGCGCTTTACAGTTCATTTTTATCTGGTTCAGAATTAGTAACTGAGATGATTAATTGTTGCTGTATCGATACTGTCACTGTTTATTTGATTCTTTAAAAAGGAAATTCTCATAATATTGACTATAATTTTCATCTTCAGATTTCCCCTTTCCCATGTGGGGAGAGTCTAATTAACTGAAATAATGGCCTTAGCTTAACCCTTCTCCTCCCCCTCACCTTGTTATGAGAATCCCCCTCTAAAATTTTTTATGAGTACTTCTTTAAAAAATACAAAATCTGAGTAGCTAATGAATGTTTTATGAGTAAGTGGTATTTAAAATTATTTGCTTTTTGGGATAAATGCAACTTCAGCGTGTGCACAAAACCTAGCTAAAGGAGAATCTAGCTTTTTGGAAAAGTTACTAAAAATAACTACTTATCCAACTAGAAGAAAATGTAGAAATGGCTTTTTTATATATCAGAAAATTCAACAGCAGATATTGCAACTTCACTAAGAGCCCTGAGATTGTCAATGAGCAATGAAAGCTCTGTTTTTATTTTGAGGTTAATATAGCTGCCTGTGTTTGAGCAGCTAAACTTCAAATCGTACTGAGCATTATGCTTACCTCTGTAGACCTGTTTGCTGGTTCTTTGTGTGTCATGGAGGTGAATTGTATGCTTCTGTGGAGAGTTACTGGAGAACTTTTTTGTCCTTTTGGGCTCATGAGTAGATAATTATGGGCAGGTACTGGAGGACTCCTACCCACTGAGTACAGTAACTTGGGTTGTATGGGACGGTCTTAAGTGAGAACCCTTCTCATAGGCTACGTTTACTTTAAGCACTACCAAGCCTGTGTGAGGTGGCTTTAGCTGAGGAAGGAGAACACAAGAAAGCCAAATCAGAGTCTGAACTGACTCTGTGGAGAAGATATAACTGACAAGTTGTGGGACTAGAGGGTACTAAGCTGATTCAGTGTGTGATACCAAGACCAGTTGATGCTGTCTAGGTCTGAGCCACTGTCAAAACAAGTAATTTCCTGGGCTCCATGTCACCTGCAGTTGCACATTTCTGCCATGTTCTTTACATGGGCACTTTTGCGGCTGAACATGCTGAACAACATTAATTTACTGCTCTGGCTGAGGGGGAAGAAGAGTCTTGGCCTTTCTTTCCTCCCCAAAATAATTTTTTCTCAATCAGTTCTGCAAAATGTTCTGATTTTACAGTGTGAGCACAGTGCTGCTGTGTAAGTAGATCATGAATGTCACGGTTTCTGTTTTCTTTCTGTCTTTGTAGAAGTTCATTTAGGTTCAGAAAAAGAATTCAGTCTCTCTGGTATAGTTCATCATGTTGCAGCTGAGCAGTGGTACATTACTGTGTACGTTCACAAAAGATCACTTTGAGTTTTGGAGAAGTTGGTAACCACCCTCAAGCTGTCTGGCTCAGCTGTCTCCCAGAGGTTTGCTCTTCAAGGCATTCAGAAGAGCTAAATCCTGAGTGTACCCCTTTGCTTCCGTGCAAGATCCAGAGCTTTACCTAAAATGGTTGAGGGAAGTGACTTTAAGTTAACATACTATGGACTACATGAAGCAGGCTGCATGCATATTCCCATTTTCTGACACTGTCAAGAGAATGGAGTGGGTAGCTCTGGACAACATCTGCTTATCCTGCTTCAGCAAGATCCTAGTATTGGTTTATCTGGTTTGTGTGACTTCTCTATGTGATAGCTGTCTACCTGAGAGTAAGAATAGCTGAATTTGACCAAATTTCAAGTCAAATTTCAAACTTCAAGGAGACAGGTGGATTAATAGGATAGTGTCAGCTGTGGCATTTACTGTGTTGAATACAGAGCAGACCAATAACCAACAAATCATTATTTCCCATCAGTTACTGTCTCTGGGACTGACTGATGGCTGCTGTCTATTACTCATTGCTACTTGGTAGAAGTAATTTTATTCAACAGATTGGAGGAGAATTCACATTGATGGTGTTCATCCTTTCATCTACTAGTTTTCATAGCAGGACATTTTTGTAATTTTAATTGGTAGCCTGATTAAGTAGTACCTCTATTTGGGCCTCTTTCAAGTATTTATTTTTTATTTTTAGTCTAATGATATATTATCCTCTGTGGGGAAACAGTGCTTCGGAGCTGCTACTCTGGATGAAAATGGGCAAGGTACCTATTGAGAGTACCTGTGTGGTGAAAAGGTTAATGTTTTACTTGTGCAGTCCTGAGTGATGGATTTGGAATAATTTGTAAGAAAAGGTGATTAACAGATGGAAACTACAGAATAATATACTTTGGAAATAGAAACATCTTCAGAATTTACCAAACTATTTAGCAGTTCTATACAGCATGATAATGACCAAAAAAGCTGATTATGTCCAGTAAGGTCAACCAGAAGAAAAAATTTAGTGGTTAAATGATTCTTAAAGTGAAAGTGTATGTCTGAGTGGCTCAAGTGGCCAGGAAAAGATGGGGTTGTATGCTCTATGGGTTCCCATGGAAAATAAAAACAACCCAAATGTATATGAGGGTACTATTTAATATTGAAAGAAGTACTATAGTTGAGGATATGAGTTTAAATGCTAGTAACTATGGATTTAGCAGGTAAGACTAACTCTTCTTGACTAATCTCCTCAACAGTACCTTCACTATATAGTTTCTTCCACAGAGCTGTACTTATGGTATTGAATCTGTCTTGACTTATATGCCATGAAGATTTATCCAAATAAAATAGCTTTTAGGAAAGTAGGTATTTAATTATGTATGGTACTATTCTTTGTGTGGCAGGTGTATTAATTAAAAGAAAAGCAACAGTACTATTATGTTGAGCCACTGTTGTTCTGAGACAAAGTCATGTAATGGTTTAGAAGTACTTCACTAAAACAATCATTACTATGATCTTTACTTAATGTCAGGTGGACTTGATTTTATTCTTCCACTGCCTCTTTTTGGACAATTGATTTGGCCCAGTGATAGATGATATAAAATAGTAAATTTGATGTACACTTCTACATGAGAAAAAAAATCCAATAATCTAGATATATCAAATGAAAACCTTTTTTGCTTTTTAAATAATTACATCATATTCATGTAACTGTACAGAGACCTTATTAATCTAGACAGTTATTTGAAAGACTGATGCTGTTCCAATGTCATTTGTGCTTTTTATATATTTGTATGTATATAAGAAAACATACTGGCCTTTCTTAGCAGCACTCAAATTTCTTTCTCTTATAATAAAGCTTTCTTCTGTAATGATTGTTTTAAGAGTGCCATCTAGTGTCTAAAGCTTTTCAATACGAGTTGTGATTTATAAGTTAATGGGCAATTTTATTGAGTGATGGAGCAGAAAAATTATTGCATCATTGTTTTATATTAAACTGGTATGGAATAGTTTAATAGGAAAAATGTAATTTTCAACCAAGTATAAGGAAAATTAATTCAAGTTTTTAATATAATGAGAAGACATTAATTTCAGCTATGTTACTGTTGTATTTATCTGCTTTAAAATAGTTGTGTGTTTGAGGTGTTAATGTAGCATTCTTGAAATGAACCTTTTTTTTTTTTTTCTTCTTATGTGTGCTCTTGACCTTCAGTTAGTATCTTGCCAGGCTCTAGATTAATTTTTAATGCAGAAACCAATATTATTTCCCATGGCCTAAATACTCTCTCTATATGTCTTCTAACAGTTACAGAAAGACAAATGTTGTTAGGAAACTGGCTGTTGTACATATGTGCTCAGCAACTTGTTTTTTTAATAGTCTATGGTTAATGTTGTGAGAGATTATTGATTTAAAAAAAAAAAAGCCTTGCTATAAAATGTTTATAAACTAAAAAATTTAAAAGGAAATATTTTCTTCTGGTTTTGTATGTTTTGTTTAATGTCAGAAATACGCTAAAATGTAAAAAAAATTTTACACAGATCATTTCCCTCTCAGTGATTTGTATGTGAAGGGACTGTGTATGTGAAACCATTCTTTTCTCTCAAGAAGGGCCTGCAGTCCACTTACTCAGGCAGGATGTCTTTAATAGTGTCTTATGTTAAGATCAGTTTTAGCAGATAGTGGAAGAACCACTGTTTCAAACCCTCTTTTTTGTTCTAAGTTCTGTATTCTTTTATGAATGTTGTGTTCTGATTTCTATTTCAGGAACTTCAGCTCAGGAGGAAGATGAAAGATAGTGTCGCTGAAGAACATTTATATTTGGGTTTCTCTCATTGGTACAGAGATAGTATCTTTCCTCTTCATACATCTATTTCGCTGTTTCTGCTATCCTACTGTGACTGCAAATTATTCAAGATTTTCTTAGTGCCAACTGGTGAAAATGTGGATGATCAGTTTGTGACAAAAAACCTCCTTGGTGATCTTGAGGTCCATTTAATCTCCAGATGTCAGCTTCCAGTGGTTGTGCAGAGCTGCTGTTTACCTGCTGTTGTTGTGAAAGACGGCAAGTTCTGCCGAGCTGGGCTTTCCGTTGTCTTAAGGCATATAATACAGAAAACGTATGAGGCAGATCCATCTAAAAAGGATGTTTTGGAACTCTTAGGCTTTAAGAAGACCTGTTTAAAAGCCTGTGCTGAAGTGAGTGCATCTCTTTCTCTTAGATACATTAATAGGTTTTTTTTTAACAATTAAATGCTCTGAAGTAGACTCTTAATATTGACGTAAACTAAGTTGTTTTAGTAAGAAACTTAATTTGCTTAGAAAATGAAATTTCCTCAATGGAGAAGTATCTGTATTTTGGCATAAAGATGAAAAATAATTCTTTTTAAAGATACTACTTCTTAGCAGCACAAAAAAAACGTTAAGATTCAAAAAAATAGGTCAAATCTTTGTTTCACGTCTAGCAGTATAGTGTCAATGAGTTATAAAGTACAGCTCTTCCAGTTTGAAGTAAACTAAGAAAAACCTAATTTCTTGTTAATTTTGATTTCAAGAGCACAGTATACTGTTAGCCTTCATCACTGCCAAGGTGCGCTGCTGGCTTATGTTTAGCTTACGCTCACCAGGATGTCCAGGGTCTTTTCAGCAGAGCTGCTACCTGGCCAGGTAGTCAGTCCCTAGCCTGTGCCAGTACAGGGGTTTAGTCCATTCTGGGTGCAGGATGTTTTATTGAGTTTCAGCAAGTTCCTGTCAGCCCGTTCTGTAGCCTGTGTAGGCCCCTGTGAATGGCAGCCCTTTCTTGGAGTTTATTGGCTGCTCTGCTCAACTTGGTGTCATCCTTGAGGTGAGTGTATTCCGTCTCCCCCTCCAGGTCATTGGTAAAGATAATTAAATAGGATAGGCCTCAGCATAGACCCCTAAAGAGCTCCACTTCTAACTGACTTCAGGTAGAGTGTGAACCATTAACCACTACTACCCTTTGAATTGATATTTCAGCCCATTTATCACATAGCAGTTTACTCATCTGGCAGTTCATCCATCTAGACTTGCCTTCCTCCCTCCTCTCAGGAGGTTGAACTCCACTATTTCATGATCGCTACATCCATGGTTGCCATTGATTACTGTGCCTCCAACCCAGTTCATCCCTGTTGATGAGCAGCAGATCTGGGGAAGCATATCCTTCTGTTAGTCCATCTAGCACCAGCATACAGAAATTGTCCCCAACATCCTCCAGAACACTCTGGGTCTAATCTCTTCTTGGAAAACTTGATTCCATGTTTCAGATGGCTGCAAAGTGAGTAAACTGAATAAGAAAATACAAGAGTTCAAAAGTTCTAAAACCTTTAAGAACAGACAATAAGAAAAAGAGGATAAGGATAAGAACATGAAAAAGGTAATTTTTTTAAGGTGTTGTTCAGTTAGACTAAAGTTTTTTGATGTTGCATGCTAAAAAACCACTAATAATATAATGCATTTCTGTAAAATAAATGTGCTCAAAATCTGTTTGGTGTAATCTTCTGGTTTTATTACCAGCATTTGGTAGAGATGACATACATAAATTGATCAGAGGTTTGCTTCTCATGAGTTACATAGCCAACCTAATCTTATGCCAATAATAAGGAATAAAAATATGCTATACTGGATAACTGTTCATTCTGTTATGTGTAAGATTTAGCTTCCTAATTCTGCTATTGCAAAAGTAATACAAAATACCTGAGTTGGAATTACCTTTGGCTGGAATTTCTTTGCTTAAAGTGTACAAAAAGGTACCTGGGATTTTGTTTCTCTTTCTGTAGAGACATTAATTACATACATTTATCTGACAGGTTAGCCAGTGGACCAGACTTTGTGAGATCAGCATACCTCTGGCTGTTGAAGGATTTTTGACGGCGTCTCCTGAGCACTGTCAGACTATTCCTCCTGACATTTTACAGCTTGAAAGGAAGCTTGGAGAACCTGTCCGAGTACATAATGATGACAAAATTCGAAGGCAAAAGCTTCAACAACAGAAGGCAAGTTCCAAGGCTGCAGTGCCTGTACTTGGTAAAGAAGCAACAGAGGAAGGAAAAACAGTGGAAACGCATGAACATCCACTCCCAAGTTTGGAACTGAGCATAGCTTTCTCCAAGCTGCTTGTCCAGGAAGTATCAGATGCGGTCAACAGGGAGCCCCCTAACATCAGGAGAACAAAAACCTCTGACCTTCCGCTTTTGGACCATGTTTTTGCAGAAGGGCTTTATTTTACCTTGGCAGATATAGTGCTTTTGCCATGCATCCATCAGTTCTTGGTAAGACAAAAAATTCTGCAAATATTAAGTAGTGTATATGGTTTTTTGGGTTTTTTTGGGTTTTTTTTGTTTTTTTTTAAGAACTGGAAAGTTGTAAAATGTGTTAATTTAAAATATATTGTGGTGTTTGCGATGTGAACTTAACCTGAAACAGAAATTTTGTCTTTGTTTTTGTACAAACAAAAAACAGGGATTGGTGAGATCACCAAAATTACTTTTAAATACATAGCATATCAATACTTAGTAAACACTGATAACTGTTAAAATATTATGCTGAAATATTTTGGCACCAAGTTGCTCAGAAAATTCCTCCATGAAAATACTTAAAATGGACACTTTAAGTACATTCTAATATGCATAAAGCAAAGGTAGGTAAGCATGAATGTATTTTCTAGCTTGAATTTAGTGTACTAGATTTACAACCATGACTCAACTGATATTTACTAAGATGAGACCATTTTACCCATGAAGAATTTTTTGAGATTTGGAATTTTGATTCCATCATAAATTGCAAATTTTAAAAGGAGGGAGGGTTGAGAATGGTATAATAATTTTAAAATACTATAAGGGATGTCCCCCCTGAGAGATGTAAAACGGATAGGAAAAAAGTAGGCAAGCATGAACCTATTTTAATTTCAGTTTACTGGGGGACAAGGCAAAATGAATTCCTACGCGGTTTGTTGTACTTCTACTACATGGATATTATCTGAATTAGAATTCTTTCCAGCAAAGACTTGAAACTTTATGTAACTTTATCTTGACATGGACAGATATGCCTAAAAGACAAGTGCCTTCTGGGAAAGTAAGAATGCCTTTTAGGGAGGCAGTGAATGGAGAGAGATTCAGGGACTATGGTGGCTTTTTAGAGCTGTAAATCCTTGACTTTCCTTACACAGACTAGAGCTGAAGAGGTACTCGGGTATTGACTAGGGGAAGACTTCCAAAAGCTCATTTGTTTATGCTACCGGTATGTAATTTCTTGAGATTCTCTTGGGAATTTTTTTTTTGTCTATAAATATTTCTTTTTAAAATACAGTGTGCTATGACTTCCGATTTGCTTATTTCTGCTCGTAATAGGTTAGTTATTCTTAATCTCTGCTGCTGTTTTCTTCTAGTTCCTAGGAATGACTTCTTTGGGAGGAAACATTCCTGTGTAGCCAACCCGGCTCTAGTCTCTCTCAAATGGGTGCTTTTTATCAAGCCCTCTCACAAAATTAAGCCAGTTTCGTTGCACATCTATAGATAAAGATGGGTGTCTAGGGCAGCATAATACCTACACATCAGCAAACCTTTTATTCTTCCGTGCAGTTTTGTTTTTACAAAGCTTAGTCTGTATTCTTCTTTAAGCAAGGACTGATCACTGTGACCCTGCTCAGAAGTGAGGTGTTGTGTCTAAGGAGCCAGCTTCTTTGGGACGTGCTTCAGCCCCTGAAACTTCTGTCGCTTTGTCACTCATAATATTGTTGCTACTAAATTGTTTTCCACAGTTTGTGGAAGGGGCTTCATTTACTGCAGCGAAAGGAGAAGTTCCTTGGCAAAGGTTATGTTGCTAGAAGCTCTTGGAGTGAAGTTTATAACCGAAAAGTTACAATTCTCCTTGCAGTCCTATGAGATTGGCTGCTTAATTTTTTTTTTTCTAATAGAATCTTGTGTTACCTGTATGGTCCAATAACATACTGATAGAAAGTCCCCACTTTCCTTTAGGGGACTTGAATGTTTTCCTATCAGATTGTGTAAGTGTTTTGGAAATGCCAAGAGTGTGGTCTATTCGAAGATGCCTTTGTCTCTTTTCTCCTTTGCAGTCAACGTAGCACGTTCCCAATACTGGACAAACACCAATGGGCTGTTTTCCATTGCCTTCATGCTTGTTTTTTTCCTTCACATCAAGAGGTTTTCACAGCACAATGAGGAAAACCAGTGTATGCTTGCAAAGTAACATGGACACTGTGTATAGCAGATATATGCAAAATTTCATCCTGAATGTAGGACTATTTCACATCTTGTGATGTGTTTAGAGGTCTCAAAAGGTCTCCCAGTCCGTATATGGAGGAATTTCAAACCTCTAAAGAGTTTCACCAAGATGAAACAGGAAAAGCACTGACATAACTGGCAGTCAGGGCACCACACGGAATGTGGAAAACTGGGAATAAATCTTTGCTCCCGGACATAAAATGTCATTATAGAAACACTGTTGCAAGTGGGAAAGCTGATTTTAGAAGTTCCTGCACTCCAGGATGCAGTTTGCCAGGCTATTGGTGTGTCAACTCAACTGTAATTTGAATCAGTAGAATATTCATGTTGCTGTACCTTAAGATCAATGATCTGTTAAAAGCTTATCTCGCCCCTCTTGTAGGGAGAGCCTTAGTCACTTGGTTATTGAATCTTTTGTGGTGGATCTCTTACTTTGTACAAAATTTATCTGGGCCTGAGAAGGAGATTCTGTGTATGTGTGTGTTGGTGGTTGTTTTTTTATAGCACTTATCTGGTAAGTGCCAGTGTCTTGCAGATTCTTTTGTAGAAGTATCTTAACATCTAGATTAGGAACATATATCAAAATATGTTTTGAGACTCATAAAGCCATGCAATTTGATTTTTATTTACTTTTTTTTTAATGCCCCCCTAGCCCCCCTTTTCTCCCTCTACCCTTTTCTCACCTCTGGAAAGAGGTAGGGCTTAGTAGTGCGAGTGACTTGAGCTCAGCTTCAAAACCAGTTTTACAGTGGGAAAAACTTCTGTGGCAAACCTGTGTGAGAGTCTTGCCCAGCACAATCTATGCGCTTAGTTTTATGAGGATGTATACACAGAAAAGAATTAAGGAAATGACAACTGTGTCTTTATGTCCCCTGACAATAAAAGCACAGAATCACACAGAATCACAGAATGGTTGGGGTTAGAAGGGACCTCTGGAGATCACCTAGTCCAACCCCCGTGCTAAGACAGGTTCACCTAGAGCAGTTTGCACAGGATCGCATCCAAGCGGATTTTGAATATCTCCAGAGTGGGAGACTCTACCACCTCTCTAGGCAGCCTGTTCCAGTGCTGTGTCACCCTGAAAGTAAAATCTTTCCTCATAGTCAGATGGAACTTCTCGTGTTTCTGTTTGTGCCCATTGCACCTTATGCTTTCCCTGGGCACCACTGAAAAGAGTCTGGCCCCATCCTCCTGACACCCACCCTTACAATATTTGTAAGCGTTGATAAGATCCCCTCTCAGTCTCCTTTTCTTCAGGCTAAACAGACCTAGCTCTCTCAGCCTTTCCTCATAAGAGAGATGCTCCAGTCCCCTAATCATCTTCGTAGCGCTCTGCTGGACTCTCTGCAGTAGTTCCTTGTCTGTCTTGAACTGGGGAGCCCAGAACTGGACACAGGACTCCAGATGTGGCCTCACCAGGGCAGAGTAGAGGAGGAGGATAACCTCCCTGGACTAGCTGGCCACACTCTTCCTAATGCACCCCAGGATACCGTTGGCCTTCTTGGCCACAAGGGCACATTGCTGGCTTGCGTTCAACTTGTTGTCCACCAGGACTCCCAGGCCCTTCTCTGCACTGCTGCTTTGATACAAGGAGGTTGCGTGCTACCAGTATTCCTGCAGTTACTGGGAGAGTGATAGCTAAGCTGGTGTCTGTTGCCAGGAAGAGCTCTGAGTGAAGTTGGTATTTGCATTTTGATTTTGCAAGTTGTTTTGCCAAATTTGCCTTCTGGTGTTTGAAAACAAATGGAATTCCTGGAGAAGATGCTGTCAGTCACATTCATAGAAGCAATCTCTAAAATCAAGATAATTACTAACGAACATTAACATGTGACAAATGTCCAGTTTGTAACTTCTTTAATCAAGATCATCATCCTCAGTGGATTTCTGTATGATGCTAGCAATATGGGTGTCCAGAAGTAGGTTAATATGGCTACCTTTGAATTAAGATGATGAGTTATTTTACAGAAATGGTTATTAATTCATCTCTGCTTTGTTTGTTTGCTTTGCAAATCACATAATTGGGGATTAACAGCAACTTCTGTATGGATGTTACTAAACAAAAGTAGTAAGACAAAATGCTTTCCTACTATTTTAAAAACTTCAATGTATTTCAGTTGTCTTTATTTTTCCAAGGCCTTTTTAAAAAAGAAGAGCATAACTTTTTAAAGTAATATTTGATTTACTGGTGCTAGGCATGAGGAGATTCTAGGATCAGATGCTTAATTGATTTCAGCAATCCAATTGAAATTGTTCTGTAGATGTACTGTGAGCAGCTGCGAATGCTGTATTTATTTGCTTTTCCTGTGTGACCCTTGAGCCCTGGTGATCTGCAGTTTGCAAACAGTATATTGTATGATACATTTTTGTTAGCTCACACCAAGGATTGTCCTAAAAACTGGCTTTCAGTTTCATTTTTACCTAAATTATGAGAGCTCTGGGATAATGCTGCTTTATTTCTGTTCTCTGGTGAATTATCAGTTTTCTAAGCAATTATACTTTGATTCCTACAGTTATCATCCAAATTTAATAACTTGCATCTGAAAGCTTCTTGCAGGCAGTGGGTTGAAACTGCTCTTGTTGATGGAAGTGCCGGAGTTTAATTCTGTATTAAAATGTTATTTATCACTTATATAACTGGACTTCCTGGATTGTGTTTAAAAAAATCATTATAGTTGCACTTCCACTTTTCTTTAGGGTGTGAATAATAATGAAGTCTTCAATAGGTATGTGTCTGGAAAGTAGCGTACGATAAATATGAGGAGACCTGACTAGCGGATTGTAATTGTAATTACCAAAAGTAAGATAATGAAGCTGAAGAGTTGTTTTTCATTACCTCATTCCATTTCTGTTATCTTTCTGAGGTTAGCTTTGTTACACTTCCTATTAGTTGTAACTGTTTAATAGAAGAATAACAAAAGCTCTGTTCTCCATCTGGGAGGAACCACTATTCACTTTTTAAAATACAATTTGGAACACTTGTTATCAAGTGCAACAGTGCTTCTTAGAATTGCTTTCCAAAATACTTCTTCCTTAACTGAATCAATGTATTTCTGCCTGTGTTACTATTAGGATATTGAATTAGATACTAAAATTACACAGTTCATCCTCCTTTTGCTCCTCTAGCTATTACTAATTACTTGTGATTACCCTAAGAACATTATAAACAGAGCATGCAAGAAAGCTGCTTGAAATTTTGTGTCATTTCAGGTGTTCTTTACCAATTCCTATTTCCACACTGAGAACAGATATGTGGAGGAGCACTGTTTTTGCATGGCCTTTTCTGCGTTTTCCTGTAATCTTGTTTTTTAATTTTCTGCTTAAAGCAGGCACAGCATCACAGCATAATTGAGCTTGGAATAGCTGAGGTTGGAAGGCACCTCTGGAGATCATCTTGTATAACCCCCCTGCTCAGAGCAGGGTCAACTAGAGCTGGTTGCCCAGCATTGTGTCCAGTCAGGTCTTGAGTGTCTCTTAAGGATGGAGGCTTCACAACGTCTGCTGTAAGAGGAGGGTCTTCGCTGTTCTAACACATTTGGGAACCTGAACAAAAATTACTTCACTTCATCAAATGCATCCTTTTTAGAATTAGCTGGTCTTCATCTAGAAATGTGATTTGGGTATCTTTTTTTGGAATATGTGCATCGTATTCTTACTTAAGAATTTTTTTTTTACACTTAAAATTCTAATTTCTATTGAAGGCCACTTCATCTGATGATCATATATACTTAATTCAGAAAAGAAATGTACTAGTTACCATTTTTGTATGAAAATACAAAGTTAAGATGGTAAAAAAGTTTGAGTAAATATGTGATTTAAAAAAAAAAGTTTTGGATTCAGTGCTAGTGAAAAAAAAGTCACAGATGTAGTGCAAAGACTTCAGTAAAGACCAGGGACAATGTATGCCTGTGCCTGTTTTGCTGTTACCACATATTCAAAGATATTTCAGGCTTGCAGTTACTGGCAAAAGAGCTGTTAGGGAGTAGCAGATAATTAAGATTATTTAAATTGTGTTTTCCTGTTACTGACTGAAATTAGGATTAAAATGGGTCATGTGAACCTTTTCATCCTATTAAGCAAATGGGAATTGCAGATAAAGTCTAAATGGCCAACTGGAAATTCCACCTGCAGGCTTGAGCTCTTAACTAGCTCGTTTTTTGCATTAGTATCATGCTATGAGTAAGCATGCTCAGCATGGAGCTGAGCTCACTTCTGTAGTTCTTGCCACCTTGTGGCTTGTAGGAAGAAATTTACAGTAGCAAGTAACCTTTCCATTTTATTTTTCTAGGTTTCCAGCAAAAAACAAGGCAAAAATCTGGTAAATTTGCCTCTGATATCCAGCTGGTATCAAAGAGTTCAAAAAGTACCTGGAGTAAAGCAGGCTGCTAGCAAATGCAATATGGAGCTTCTCCAGCTTCCAGAGTTGATGTCTGCTCCAGAGGAAGAGCTACAAGACCTCTCTTCAGTTCCTGATGAATTAGAAGAGGAGAATGAAGACAGTAATTTTATAGGTGGTCCAAGGCCAACTATGACTAAGTTAATGGTAACTTAAGCATTTTAATGAGTTATTTTTAATAGTAATATTCTGTTTGATTTGGAATAGGTGAAATTTATTAGAATTGCAGAAGCTAAGTCTGACAGCCTTGAACAGTTTAATACATTTTGCCTGTCTTCTGTCTGATATGCATTGACTTAAGAGTGATTTTACTTTTTTGTTCTGCTACGATATTTGATCAATTCAGGAATTGAGCAAAGATAGGAATGCTGGAAGCCCTATCAATAATTCTGAATAATCAAAGTAGTTTTTTGTTTGAATTGCACTATTGTATTCCTCTTTTAAAGATATTTGTATAAAGGATGACAAAAACCATTGCTTTTCTGTTTGGCTTCATTATTCTGTCATTTCTGTTGTTTTTTTGCTATTTGATTAGAGCTTTGAACATCTGTGAACCGTAATGAGTTTTGTTAAAGAAAACTCTCCATCATGTTCCATAACTCTCAGTATTTTTTGCATAGGGGCTGACAGCATTTCCTAAAGAAAATTAACAAGGCTTTCTTGTGAAAATGAGAGAAATACATAATTTGAATCCCATATAATGTAGAGTCAGCTTCCTGTTTAGTTTCAGTTAGGCTGAAAGTGTTGCACAATTTGATCTGATGCCATTAAATTCAGTGGGAATTTTGCTACCAACTTCAGTGGGTAAAGGATCAGGGTCTTAATTTTTTTGCCCCTTTCACACAGGAAAATGGTATTGAAGCAAAATTTTCTCCTCATCCGTGCCCCAGCTGGACCCTAGACTGGACCAATCTACCATCTGCAGTCAGTCCTGGAGAAGGTAAGAGTTTTTATGTATGTGTGTATGTATTTAACAGTGCTTTCTTTTGGTGAAGCTACTTAACTGTTTCATAGGAAAATATGTCACTTTTCAATGTATTGCAGAGCTCTGTAAAACAGGTAAGCAGTTTTAAATCTGTTGTAAAATTCAGCCTGTTTGGGACAGACACCTGGTGAGATGACTTCCCTCAGGTCATCAACAACTGATTACCAAACTGGGAATAAAAGCTTGACCTTGATTCCTGAACCATATTTTTTCCCACTGTTACCCACTTTCCTGAACTTTTCTTCATATCTAGAACAGTAAATTCTGACTACATGATGTTAATATAATCAGCATGAATGTTGTACATGGGCTGTGTCTCCCGAAGCAGCACAAGTTCATTTTATTCTGATTAAAATAATATTCATTAGCTAAGTTTGATAGCTACATATGAGTGAGTCTTCCCTTTTGTGGCAGTGTTCCTTGCCCTGTAGAGGTTGTTTGCATCGCTGGATTGAAGAACAGCCTGTTGCCTAGTGGCTATAGTTCTACAATGGAAAAAAATGATTTATCACAATGTTTGTTGTTTTCATCAGTGTTAGGAATATTGAATGCCTCTTCCAGCACAGAGTAGAGTTTCCTCTAAAAGGTCTTATACATACTGCCAGACAGTAGAGAAGTTAGGGGGCAGTAACTCCTTTCTGCAGAGAAGAAAAAGATTTGTGTTATTTTGTGTAAATAAGATAACTTAGATTCTGGAGTCAGTCTAGCCTCAGTGGCATAGAACTTCTGATTTAAAGAATACAGAAATATACATGCAACATATAGATGCTCTTCAATGACCAATATGTGAAATTCCTCACAGAATATGTTAGGAATCACTGAAGAGCTATAGGCATTTCTACAAAATACTCTTTTTTTTTTTTTTTTTTTTTTTAATATCTAACTGCGTGAATACAAACATGTATTCCCATCTACGATGTACAGGCTATAAAAATAAGACTAAGATTTGAAATTGGTTTCCTCTGTTTTGGATCTGTGTGTAATTCACAAAGCCCTGACAAAACCCTCATGTGTACCATGAGTAGATTTATAGTTTTATATAAGTATCTATCCTTCTAACATGAGCTGTTTTCTCCTGGTTTTGTCCTGAGAGAACTCTTCACTGGGAAGTTGCACACCCTGCCTTAATTATTGATCCTTTCTTTTCTTTAGCATGGAAGAAAAAAAAAGCCAAAACTTGGGTCACCATTACATCATACTTCTTCAGATTTTATGTGGATGTTTTAGATATACTTCTTACTGTTACTATACTGTTAAAATGGCTTTGTAGTCTGACTGCTGAAATGCTCAGGGAGGATTATATGCGTTGAATTTTTGTGACAAGTTCCAGTATTTTGTTGGAAGTGAATAAACATTTTTGCTTATTTCCAGTGCTCAGGTTTTTGGCTGTAAGTTTTAGTTCATACTTTTGTCAAGATATTTCTTTTCTTCTATTTGAAAGAAAATTTTGAAAAAGATGCATAACGTACAAAAACACATAATGAATGTATATTTGGAAATTTTGTGCTGGAAGGAGTCTCTTGGACTTGGTTTGACTGGGAAAAAAATCAGCTCCTGCTGCTTCCTGCATACGTGTGTACTCACACTCTCTTTTTTCACGTTTGCTGAAATAGATACTAATGACACTGATACCAGAAATTGGTTTTCAGTTCAATTTTTAGGAAGATTTGCTAGCTCAACCAGGTGCCAAGAGAGAGATTTCACCTCCCTCCATCCAAGATCACAGTGATGCTAATGCCGTTTTCTGATTTAGGGAAACTCCAAATGGTTGTGCTTTTAGTCCAGGAGCAACAGAGTCACATGGGACAAAAAGAAATTTCCCGATATGAGAACTGATGTTGCTTTTCAGTTGCATACATCTGCATGCTTACCTCTGCTGTTCTAAGTGGTCCTGTTCTCTGTTTCCTGACTCTTGTTAGTGCAGCCTAATCATTGTTATATAAATTGGATTCTTAATATTCTGCTACTAAATCCTACCTGGCATGCTAAGAAAATAGTCACTGAATCTGACAGTGTTTTAAACTGGATTTGAGTAATGCAATTCAAGCTTTCAAGCAGATTACCCCTATAACTGGTAAATAAATTTCCTCTTGCTGATGTTCATAGCAGTTGAGACAAAGAGAATGTTTCAGTTAAAACTCTTTTTTTTTTTTGATCCACAATATATTTAATTTGCTGTCAAATCTTAATTTAATAGCATACATGATATACTTTTTTTGCTCTGTCTCAGATCAGATAACTCAGAATTTGTGTTATACGTATGTGGAAGCTCTTGGATTGAATTGTTCAGTCTGTCTGTAAATCTAAATAGACCGCCTTGCTGTCACAGCTATTTACTACAGAAAAGAATTACTGATGATTGCAGTTCTAATGTATTATTTAGATTATACACTTAGGTTCATTCATTTTTTTTTAATAGGGATTATTTACTGTTGCAAAACTGAAGATTATGACACCATGATTTGCATTTCATTTGCTTAGTCGTATTTCTGAAGCAGAAGTTAAAGATCTGTTAGTTCTAGTCCTGATGCAATTTTTAAAAGGTATTTGATTGACCCAAAATGGACTCATGTTTACATTTTAGATATCCTCCAGCGTTTTAAATTCCTGCCATTATGTCAATTAATTCTAACATATTTGGCTTCTAAAGTTTTATGTATCGGCCTTGAGACATGTGTGAATCTGTAAGGCTTTGTGAGCATCTGGACTGTTTTTGAAACATTGCAAAATATCCCGAAATATAGTATCTTAGTGCCCTCTGTAACTGTTGATATTCTAGGATATTGTAGTTGTTGAGTAGTTGTTAAATTCCTTCAAAAAGTGAAAGTTTGTAACACCAAGTATTTCATTTATTTCAAAATGTGTTGTAAATGCTCTTTTTTTTTTTTTTTTTTTTTTTTAATATCTAACTGCGTGAATACAAACATGTATTCCCATCTACGATGTACAGGCTATAAAAATAAGACTAAGATTTGAAATTGGTTTCCTCTGTTTTGGATCTGTGTGTAATTCACAAAGCCCTGACAAAACCCTCATGTGTACCATGAGTAGATTTATAGTTTTATATAAGTATCTATCCTTCTAACATGAGCTGTTTTCTCCTGGTTTTGTCCTGAGAGAACTCTTCACTGGGAAGTTGCACACCCTGCCTTAATTATTGATCCTTTCTTTTCTTTAGCATGGAAGAAAAAAAAAGCCAAAACTTGGGTCACCATTACATCATACTTCTTCAGATTTTATGTGGATGTTTTAGATATACTTCTTACTGTTACTATACTGTTAAAATGGCTTTGTAGTCTGACTGCTGAAATGCTCAGGGAGGATTATATGCGTTGAATTTTTGTGACAAGTTCCAGTATTTTGTTGGAAGTGAATAAACATTTTTGCTTATTTCCAGTGCTCAGGTTTTTGGCTGTAAGTTTTAGTTCATACTTTTGTCAAGATATTTCTTTTCTTCTATTTGAAAGAAAATTTTGAAAAAGATGCATAACGTACAAAAACACATAATGAATGTATATTTGGAAATTTTGTGCTGGAAGGAGTCTCTTGGACTTGGTTTGACTGGGAAAAAAATCAGCTCCTGCTGCTTCCTGCATACGTGTGTACTCACACTCTCTTTTTTCACGTTTGCTGAAATAGATACTAATGACACTGATACCAGAAATTGGTTTTCAGTTCAATTTTTAGGAAGATTTGCTAGCTCAACCAGGTGCCAAGAGAGAGATTTCACCTCCCTCCATCCAAGATCACAGTGATGCTAATGCCGTTTTCTGATTTAGGGAAACTCCAAATGGTTGTGCTTTTAGTCCAGGAGCAACAGAGTCACATGGGACAAAAAGAAATTTCCCGATATGAGAACTGATGTTGCTTTTCAGTTGCATACATCTGCATGCTTACCTCTGCTGTTCTAAGTGGTCCTGTTCTCTGTTTCCTGACTCTTGTTAGTGCAGCCTAATCATTGTTATATAAATTGGATTCTTAATATTCTGCTACTAAATCCTACCTGGCATGCTAAGAAAATAGTCACTGAATCTGACAGTGTTTTAAACTGGATTTGAGTAATGCAATTCAAGCTTTCAAGCAGATTACCCCTATAACTGGTAAATAAATTTCCTCTTGCTGATGTTCATAGCAGTTGAGACAAAGAGAATGTTTCAGTTAAAACTCTTTTTTTTTTTTGATCCACAATATATTTAATTTGCTGTCAAATCTTAATTTAATAGCATACATGATATACTTTTTTTGCTCTGTCTCAGATCAGATAACTCAGAATTTGTGTTATACGTATGTGGAAGCTCTTGGATTGAATTGTTCAGTCTGTCTGTAAATCTAAATAGACCGCCTTGCTGTCACAGCTATTTACTACAGAAAAGAATTACTGATGATTGCAGTTCTAATGTATTATTTAGATTATACACTTAGGTTCATTCATTTTTTTTTTAATAGGGATTATTTACTGTTGCAAAACTGAAGATTATGACACCATGATTTGCATTTCATTTGCTTAGTCGTATTTCTGAAGCAGAAGTTAAAGATCTGTTAGTTCTAGTCCTGATGCAATTTTTAAAAGGTATTTGATTGACCCAAAATGGACTCATGTTTACATTTTAGATATCCTCCAGCGTTTTAAATTCCTGCCATTATGTCAATTAATTCTAACATATTTGGCTTCTAAAGTTTTATGTATCGGCCTTGAGACATGTGTGAATCTGTAAGGCTTTGTGAGCATCTGGACTGTTTTTGAAACATTGCAAAATATCCCGAAATATAGTATCTTAGTGCCCTCTGTAACTGTTGATATTCTAGGATATTGTAGTTGTTGAGTAGTTGTTAAATTCCTTCAAAAAGTGAAAGTTTGTAACACCAAGTATTTCATTTATTTCAAAATGTGTTGTAAATGCTGGTTTCTATTGTAGTTTACTGTATAGAAACTTGGCTGGTACTTTACCTGTATT